CCACTTATCCCCTTCGAAATGTTTTGCATAAGCCTGAACTATCGGGTTGGTTGGCCAAATGGGCCGTCGAACTTGGCGGGTATGATATCGAATATCAACCCCGAACGGACATCAAGTCTCAAATCTTGGCCGACTTTGTGGCCGATTTTACGCCGACCCTCGTACCCGAAGTGGAGAAAGAACTTCTACTAAAATCGGGTACATCATCGGGGGTATGGACCCTTTTCACAGACGGAGCCTCGAATGTGAAAGGGTCCAGGCTTTGCATTGTTTTGAATCCACCAACAGGTAGTACTATTAGACAATCTATCAAAACTTCTAGGTTGACTAATAATGAGGCCATGATTGCAGGTCTCGAGCTAGCTAAAAGCTTGGGGGCAGAAGTCATTGAAGCCAAGTGCGATTCTCTGTTGGTAGTAAACTAAGTAAATAAAAGTTTCGAAGTTCGAGAGGATAGGATGCAATGATACTTGGATAAGCTACAGGTAACCCTGCATCACTTCAAGGAATGGACCCTAGATCATGTCCTCGAGAATAAAATAGTGAGGCCGATGCACTTGCCAACTTGGGGTCATCAGTAGAAGAAGATGATATCGTCCCGGACTGTTGTCCAATTATCGAGGTTTGTGATTGAAGAGGGTCATGCCGAGATAAATTCTACAAGTTTGACTTGGGATTGGAGGAATAAGTATATCGAGTATTTGAAAAATGAAAAACTCCCATCGGATCATAAAGAGTGAAGGGCCCTACGAACCAAGGCTGCTAGGTTCACATTAGATGAAGATGGGACATTGTAGAGGAGGACGTTCGACGGACCATTAGCGGTTTGTTTGGGGCCGGGGGATACCGATTATGTTCTACGAGAAATCCGCGAAGGCACTTGTGGGAATCACTCCGGTGCCGAGTCTTTGATTCGCAAAATTATTAGAGCAGGGTATTACTGGGATAGCATGGAAAAAGACATTAAGGAGTTTGTTAAAAAGTGTGATAAATGTCAAAGGTTCTCACCAATGATTCATCAGCCCGGAGAGCAACTACACTCGGTCCTGTCCCCGTGGCCTTTCATGAAATGGGGAATAGACATAGTCGGCCCTCTACCAACGGCCCCAGGTAAAGCTAAATTCATTTTGTTTATGACTAATTATTTTTCTAAATGGGTGGAAGCAAAGGCCTTTGAGGAGGTCAGAGAAAAGGAAGTTATTGACTTCATATGGGATCACATCATATGTCAGTTCGGGATACCTTCCGAGATTGTATGTGACAATGGAAAGCAATTCGTCGCAACAAGGTAACGGAGTTCCTCGAAGCGCACAAAATAAAGAGGATCTTATCAACACTGTACCACCCAACCGGGAATGTAAAGGCCGAGTCAACAAACAAAACTATCATTCAAAACCTAAAGAAAAGGTTGGACGATGCAAAAGGAAAATGGAAAGAAGTTCTACCCGAGGTCTTTTGGGCAGATCGAACGACATCGAAGTCCAGCACCGGGGCTACTCCGTTCTCTTTAGTATATGGCTCCGAGGCCTTAATCCTGATCGAGGTCGGGGAACCCAGCGCCAGGTTTCAACATGCGTCGGAGGATTCAAATCGCGAGGCTATGAATACTAGCCTCGAGCTATTAGATGAAAAACGAGAAGCTGCACTTGTTTGGATGGCGGCGCAGAAACAAAGAATCGAGAGATATTATAATAGAAGGACTAACCTTCGATACTTCGGAATCGTGGACTTAGTTCTACGGAAGGTCACCCTCAATACTCGAGACCTGAATGAAGGGAAACTGAGCCCGAATTGGGAAGGACCGTTGATCACGCCCAACTATGCCTTATAAAAAGGACTAAGCGGTCGCTGCAAATATAATCCGGTTCAAGTCCGGAGTCGAATCCCACAGGGAACTAACCTATTTACTACAACTTTTAACATTGCTAATGAATAGCTCAAACAATTCCGGATGCAAGATTTTTAATGGATAATGAGTAGAATTTAGTTAACTAAGGAAAAATGACAATAAAACTAGCAGTAATCAAGAGTAGAGTTGAATTCAATGGTAAAATGGTCTAGGGTTATTGATTTCCCCAATTGTCGGATCAATTCCTGACACGTTAGCTATAATCTCGCCTTAACACTCTATAAGAAATATGAATTCTGGGTTACCGCAATTATCTCTCGATCAGTTACGATAATTTACTAGAAGCATTCTTTCGAACTACTCTAGTTAACAATTTATGCAACTCAGAATTATCCCACCAAAGCTTCGTTATCTCTAACCCTGCTTTTAAATTCAAGTAATTAATCTCTTAACTTACCCGAAAGTGGTGTTGTTCAACAACAAACCTAACCAAGTTTTCTTTCTCAAGCAACACAAGATAACTAGACACGATTAATCAAGGGTCATTTCAATTAATCACAAGACAACACGTAGTTGAACAATCATAGAGTAAAAATGGCTCAATTATATCAAAACAGAGTCAAGACTTCATCCAACAATTGGTTCCATCAACCCTAGATGACGGGTTTAGCTACTCATGCTAATAGATAAAAATTCGATATATAAAGTCATAATCAACAACAGAATTATAAAGAAGAATATAAAAACTCAGGAAATTCTCTATCTTTTCTCCGTATTCTTGCCTTCAAAATCTCTCTAAAAACAGCTCTCCCTCTCTTTTGGACGAATTAGGCTTCATATAGGTTTAGGTTAGTCGCCCTGGAAATTCCATAATTGACCTGGTGTTATTGCTGTCCTTTGACACTCATCGCAACTTTTCACTCAAGCATGGGCATCTTTGAACAGAGTTGGCCAATACAAACCCGATTCCAACACCTTAGCTGATGTCCGATTCCCTCCAAAATGTCCACCATATAGTGAAGTATGGCAAGCTTGCAAAACAGAAGGTTGATCTTTCTTGGGGATACACCTCCGGATCATGTTATCTACACATATTTTAAAAAGTAGAGGTTCATCCCAATAATAAGACCGACAATCGCGAAAGAAATTTTTCTTTTGAATTGAAGAGAGTTCATAAGGTACAATACCGCTTGCTAAATAATTAGCAATATCAGCATACCATGGTGTCTCTTCCATTGTCACTGCTAGTAACTATTCATCCGGGAATGTCTCTATTATATCTTCAACCTCTACCTTCTGTTCAGCTCCTTCCAACCTTGAGAGGTGGTCTGCTACTTGGTTCTCTATCCCTTTTCTATCATGGATCTCCAGATCGAATTCTTGTAGCAAAAGAACCCAGCGGATCAAGCGTGGCTTTGACTCCTTCTTTGCTATCAAGTACCTAATTGCTGCATGGTCAGTATAAACAATAACTTTTGAACCAATCAAGTACGACCTGAATTTGTCGAATGCAAAAACTACAGCCAACATCTCTTTTCTCTTCATGGTGTAATTGAGCTGTGCACCGCTTAGCGTTATGCTTGCATAGTAAATTGGGTGTATCAGCTTATCCTTTCGCTGCCCCAAGACTGCTCCTATAGCATAATCACTTGCATCGCACTTGAGCTCGAATGGTTGCTCCCAGTTGGGTGCAAAAATGACGGGTGCAGTCACCAATCTCTTCTTTAGCTCCTCAAAAGCCAACCTGCAATCATTAGAAAACACAAACGGCTGATCCTTTTCTAGGAGTTTACATAAGGGGTTAGCAATCTTAGAGAAATCTTTTATGAATCGCCTGTAGAACCCGGCATGCCCAAGGAAACTTATCACTTCCTTGACCGAAGTGGGTGGTGGCAACTTCTCGATCACGTCAACCTTAGCATGGTCAAGCTTAATTCCTTTGCTGGACACTCGATTCCCCAAGACTATCCCTTCTTGTACCATAAAATGGCACTTCTCCTAATTCAGCACTAAATTTGTCTCCACACATCTTCTGAGCACTCTTCTTAAATTGTGAAGACAGTTCTCGAATGAATCCCCCACCACGAAGAAATCATCCATAAATACCTCCATAATATCTTCAACCATGTCCGTGAAAATGGCTAACATACACCGCTGGAATGTAGCTGGTGCATTGCAAAGTCCAAAAGGCATTCTCCAAAAGGCAAAGATGCCATACGGACAGGTGAATGATGTTTTCTCTCTGTCTTCGGGGGCTATTGAGATATGATTGTACCCTGAATATGCATCCAAGAAACAGAAGTGAGATCGCCCAGCCAACCTGTCCAGCATTTGGTCAATGAATGGCAAGGGAAAATGGTCCTTCTAGGTGGCTGTGTTCAATTGCTGATAATCCATGCAAATCCTCCATCCCGTGACTGTACGAGTCGAGATCAACTCGTTATTCTCATTTTGTACGACCGTCATTCCTCCCTTCTTCGACACACAATGAACAGGGTTGACCCAATTGCTGTCAGAGATGGGGAAGATGATACCCGCATCTAACCATTTGATCACTTCCTTCTTCCCTACCTCTTTCATATTCGAGTTCAGCCTTCATTAATGTTCTTTGTAAGGTTTGTGCCCTTCTTCCAAGAGAATCTTTTGCATACAAAAAGCTAGGCTGATACCCTTTATGTTTGCCATGGTCCAACCAATAGCAGTCTTACATTCTTGTAACACTTGTAGGAGTTGCTCTACCTGCACAGCTAGCAAACCAGATGATATAATAACAGGTAAAGTACAATTAGGCCCTAAGAAAGCGTACCTGAGATGCGCTGGGAGCGGTTTCAGGTCCAACAATGGTGGCTCCTCTATTGATGGTTTCGCAGGTGGTTTTGTTCTTTCTTCTATGTGTAGGGCCTCGAACTGAGGTTCCCTTTTCCAGAACCCTTGACCTTCAAGAGCCATGACCCACTCTGCCAACTCCTACCATCCACATTTTCCAGATTCATCAAGCAGGCTTCTAATGGATCCCTGACATTAATAGTCTCATCCTCCTCTTGTAATATTATATCTACGGCCTCCACTAGTGAGCAATTTGCAAATTCGCTGGGTCTCCTCATAGATTGTTGAACATTGAATATTATCTCTTCATTGTTCAACCTCATTTTCAATCTCCAGTCTCACAATCAATCAATCCTCTCCCAATGGCTAAAAACGACCTGCCAAGAATGATTGGTATCTCTTCATCCACTTGATAGTCAAGAATCACAAAGTCTGCAGGGAATACAAATTTCCCCACTTGAACAAGCACATCATCAAGAATTCCTGTCGGTCTTTTGACTGTGCGATCAGCCAGTTGCAACAACGTTGAGGTCGGTTTAGCTATGCTAATGCCCAGTTTTGTATAGATTGCCAAGGGTATCAAGCTTATACTGGCTCCCAAGTCACACAATGCTTTAGCAAAAGCATAACTCCCAATGGTGCATGGGATAGTGAAACTACCTGGATCAGACACCTTTTGAGCCATAGGCCTTGTCACTACCGCGCTGCAGGTCTGCGTCAGAGTTACAGTGGACAGGTCCTGGAAGTCAAATTTTTGCAACATCAGGTCCTTCATCATTTTTGCATACCCTGGCATTTCCCTCAAAGCGTCCATCAGTGGAATATTCAATTGAATTTGTCTGAGCATTTCCATGAATTTCCTGTATTGATCATCTTTCTTTTGCTTTGCCAACCTTTGAGGGAATGGTACAGGAATCAACCTCTGCCCACTGCTTTGTGTCTTTTCTTTGCTGGAAGCTTTTTCTACTACCTATTATGGGAGTTGTTCACCTTCCTTCTCCTTACCCTTGTCAACTTGTGCCTGCTCGATTACAACCTCGATGAGCCTGCTGACTCATCTGTCTCTAATGTAACTGGAGTAGTTGGCGTTGTCTCTCTCCTAGATTGAGCAACTTCTTGCTCCCTGTCTAAATCTCTTCCATTCCTGAGACTCACTGCCATGAGCTGATTTGGGTTCTGCTCCTTTGGATTAATGTTTGTATCTGCAGGCAATGTTCCTTGTGGGCGATTGTTCAAGGCCATAGATAGCTGCCCCAATTGAGTTTAAATGCCTTTGATTGCTGAATCATGTGCAGCTAACTTCTCTTGCATCTTTCCATTTGTCCCAATGAGTTGTTGCAGCATACCTCTGATTTTGATTATGTTACTGTCCTGCTGTTGATGAGGTGGTTGGTAGGCCAACTGTTGCTGGTGCTGCTGATTATAGCCCTGCTGCCTTTGATAAGGCACGACTTGGCCTTGTGGTCGTGCTCCTCCTGGATTGGGGTTGTGCTATGGCTGGTTTGGTCTGTACTGCTGGTTTGAGGTCGGTCCCCATTGCTGCCCACCTTTACCTCCGAAATTATTGACATAATTCATGTCTTCTCTGAAACCTTGGTTTTCATTCTCTCCACTCCACGAGCACACATATGACTGGTTTATGCAAGGAATGCATAAGCCTCCATTTGTAGTATCAACAATGTGCATCTGTTTCGTACCCATCTCAAACCCTGGTTGTCATTCTCTCCACTCCACGAGCACACATATGACTGGTTTATGCAAGGAGTGCATAAGCCTCCATTTGTAGTATCAACAATGTGCACCTGTTTCGTACCCATCTTATCGATTTTCTTTGTCAGCAAGCTCATCTGGGTCATAAGAGTGGCTATGTTTTCTGTATTTGTGTTGTTTGGGTCAAGAGCGACAAAATGCACTATTAGAGTGAGTGTTGTGTCTCCCGTCATCCAGCCTGAATTTTGAGACATCTTGTCAAGAAGAATCTTACACTTTGTGAATGTTTTGCTCAAGAATGCACCCCCGGCAGAAGCATCTACATTGGCCTTCAGACTGTCAGCCAAACCCATATAGAATCTCTGTCCCAGCATCTGATCCAGAATGCCATGGTGAGGACACTTCACCAACATACCCTTAAACCTCTCCCAGGTTTCTTGCAAAGTCTCAGTCGGTATCTGCCTGAATTGCAATATCTCATCAATCTGCCTCGCAGTTTTGTTGGGTGGATAAAACTTATTTAAGAACTACTTGACTAGTTCCTCCCAAGTAGCAATGGAGTTCTTGGGAGTGAATTCAGCCAGGTTTGAGCCTCAGTAGTCACTGAGAATGGGAAAAGTAATAATTTGATTGCCTCAGGAGTCACATTCGGTTGTCTTTGAGTGACCCATATTGATAGAAAGTTATTCAGATGTTGTTGCGGGTCTTCGATGTTTGACCCGGAGAAAACCCATTTATTCTGCAACAGGTGCAGCATGTTGTTGGTAATCTGGAATGTCTCCGCTTGTATTTGAGGAACCGCAATTGCTGTGGCCAGGTTATCAGCAGTTGGTTGCCCCCAATAATTAAGAGCAGCTTCCGGCACAAGAGGTGCTACCACTCTGACGTTTGGGTCATCTCGATCATTCCTGTTGTTCCCATTGACGTCATCTACGTCACCCATTTCAATTTCAATTTGTTCGTTTTGTTTCAGCTGTTTGCTCTTTTTGTTAGCCCGATTCAATGTCCAGAATGCTTTCTCGGGATCTGAGAGTCCTTCAAAGAGTTCACCAGTTCTCAAAGAGCTTCTAGGCATGCACTTGAGTCACAGAAGAGTTCAAACGTGAGAATTTCAATGGAAATATTTTCAACACCACAGAAAATTGATTTAAACTAATAAGCCTAGCAATTCTTCCAAGTTGCAATAAATAACACCGTTACTTCCCCGGCAACGGCGCCCAAATTTGATCACGCTCAACTATGCCTTATAAAAAGGACTAAGCGGTCGCTGCAAATATAATCCAGTTCAAGTCCGAAGTCGAATCCCACAAGGAACTAACCTATTTACTTCAACTTTTAACATTGCTAATGAATAGCTCAAACAATTCCCGGATGCAAGATTTTTAATGGATAATGAGTAGAATTTAGTTAACTAGGGAAAAATGACAATAAAACTAGCAGTAATCAAGAATAGAGTTGAATTCAATGGTAAAATGGTCTAGGGTTATTGGTTTCCCCAATTGTCGGATTAATTCCTGACACGTTAACTATAATCTCGCCGTAACACTCTATAAGAAACATGAGTTCTGGGTTACCGCAATTATCTCTCGATCAATTACGATAATTTACTAGAAGCATTCTCTCGAACTACTCTAGTTAACAATTTATGCAACTCAGAATTATCCCACCAAAGCTTCGTTATCTCTAACCCTGCTTTTAAATTCAAGTAATTAATCTCTTAACTTACCCGAAAGTGGTGTTGTTCAACAACAATCTAACCAAGTGTTCTTTCTCAAGCAACACAAGATAACTAGGCACGATTAATCAAGGGCCCTTTCAATTAATCACAAGACAACACGTAGTTGAACAATCATAGAGTAAAAACGGCTCAATTATATCAAAACAGAGTCAAGACTTCATCCAACAATTGGTTCTATCAACCCTAGATGACGGGTTTAGCTGCTCATGCTAATGGATAAAAATTTGCTATATAAAGTCATAATCAACAACAGAATTAAAAAGAAGAAGATAAAAACTCTAAGGAAATTCTCTGTCTTTTCTCCATGTTCTTGCCTTCAAAATCTCTCTAAAAATAGCTCTCCCTCTCTTTTGGACGAATTAGATATAGGTTTAGGTTAGTCGCCCTGGAAAATACATAATTGACCCTGGGTTATTGGCTTCCGTCAGCTCTTCCGCGACTGCGGATGGACCGCGGATCTGACCGCAGATTTTGCCTATGTTCTGTCCGCGGCCGCGGATCTGACCGCGGAGCTGGCACTTGCTCTTCTTTCTCCTTTTCGACCGTGCTATCCTTCGATTGGCCTTTCACACTCCATATTGACTCCAAAACACTCTTTAGCTTCCTCCTAGCTCGGAGTGGCTCCTGCAAAATGTAAAACTCTTAATTAGAGCATTTTGTTATCTTTTAACATTCAAACATTGATAAAGTGTGGCCATATTAGAGTGTAACAGTATCTAAATTACATAATTACCGTCTCCTATCAACCGTACCGAGTCATCGGAGTTGTCGGTAAAGGATCTTACAAACTTGGCACGATGGGAGGCGAACAACTGCTGAAAAATTGGAATATATCACTACTCAAACGATACTACTGTTAAGGTATGACTTTCTCCTTTTGTCCTTTTGAATTTAAAACTAACCCATTGCAGGTGTTCGATCGAAGATATCGAGGGCACCTTTTTACACGAAGACCCTAGGTTTTAAAGCACGTGTTGCACTCTTTTTTCCTTAGATTGGATTTTGTCCCAAATGGGTTTTACCGGCGAGGTTTTTGACGAGGCAACAACTATGTGCTACCTAAGGAGAACTCAACAGTATCTAAGGCTTCTTTTCAATCAACCTCGAATACTGGGGGGCATCACCCTCGGAGATGATATTTTCGAGGAAAATACTTCACACCAAAGAGGGACTCGATAGGAATACTTTGTAATGGGCCAAACGGACAGATGAACCGTGTCCATGTAGAATAGTCGAGCCCCAACGGCAAAACATGTACGCATGTATCAATTATTCAAAGAAGCATTCTTTCTATATCAAAACACTTCATGTCAATTTGCTACTATACGAACATCATACTTGTAATCTTGCGGGAAACAGCTCAAGAGCCAAAGCACGAATACACCTCGAATACTCGGGGACTGTCATCGACAGTCAACACATTTGAGTCATCCAAACTCGAATTCATAAGACCTCAAAGAGGCATCCCCTCGACATAAAGGCCAAGGCCATCATACTCGGGGACTAACCTTTCGAACAAGTTCGAAAGGTTATCGGCAAACAAGTCCAAGAGACATACCCGAAGGCTACGGCCATATTAAAGACTATGGTCATATAAAAGGCTACGGTCGAATTAACGCGGCTCGGAGACATCCGACTTCCGCCACAAATTAAAGGCCTTCAAATACTTTGAAAAACCGGTTAAACTAGGCTACCCTCGGCAAAAGCAAATAAAAAAGGGCTTCGATAAAATTAGCCCCTCGAATAATTTAAAGGCTTCGATAACATGAGCCTTCGAAAAAGCCTCAAGAGGTGTAAAGATTATCGTAACACAAATGGAATACAAATGGGGCTCCGATCGATTGAACCTTCAAAAAACCCGACGGATACAAAAACACATGCTAAGGCATAAAGAAATTTTCACTAAGTCTTTTAGCCGAAAAGAGGGAAAAATTATAGCCGTCTTAGAGGCCGAATTGGCCCAACTTAAAGATCCTAAGGGCTGACCTAAAAGAGCTTTAGGGCCAATATAATAGAGCCTAAGGGCCGAAGCATGCAGAGTTCGAGACCCTGTTCTCACTCAACTTGGACTCAAGAGTCCCATAATCCCGAGCTCGCATCAAATCGACTTAAGCTTAGCTCGAGGATTAACACAAACTTTAAGAGGTATTCTGTTATAAGTTCAAAGATCGCCCATTGATCATTAAAAAACCTAAGGGTTTGTTATATTCATAATCCGAGCCAATGTTCACTTGATCATTGAAGTTATCAAAAAATTTTACAAAATGAAGACAAAGCAGAATTCAATACAAATCGGAGATAAAGCAAAGGAAATTATTTATATTTATAAAGGGTATTTCAGTACCCAAGAGGGGCCTTACCATAAA